GATCATTCCAGTTTATTACAACTGGGATCTTATTTTCATAGTTTTGGCCACCATTTCTATAAGTTATGATAACATTATATGAAATTAATTGCTGAGACGGAGGGAATATGGCGACGCGGCTACAACAAAGTGTGACAGGACAGAAACAGAGACGTCAGATGATCACACAGTCTGCGATTTAGCCACATTACTGCATTATTTGTAGGTAAAACCAAAAGTGAGTGCACCCACAATGACGGCAATAATCCCTCGATCATTGCACAGAAAAACGGTGTGTGCACAACCATGATATGTCCTGTAGGTTGTTCCATATAGAAGTTTTCACTTTTCTCTTACAAACATGTTGTTGCTTTGTATAAAGACACACTTTTGTGTCGAAATCAATTCATTACAGGTTCAACTTAAAGAACTTTGACCAGAGTCCAGGCTACTAATATGTTTTGTGAATAAACTGTATTGTCCAGTTAGTGCCCGAGCTAAAAAAGCTTGCTAACTGACAGTTAGGTTTCCATTTTTCCTCTTCATTCATCTTTACATTTACTATCCTGCAGTCCACAGGCACACACACACACACAAACACACACGTTTTATCTGCTCTCCCCTCTTTATTATCATCTGGCCCTACACAGCATGCAGCGAGTGGCCGGTACAGTAGGAGGTTGCTAATGTTTTCCTTTTTGAGTCACTTCTAAATCTGGACAACAATATGTCACCAGACAGGCACACAGTTGGACTAAAGGAGCACCTGACCGCTGTCACAGACTCCCTGCGTGGTATGTATACATGTCACGACTCTTAGTGCATATTTTGCACATACATAATGATGAGACATAATGTTTTTTCATAGTAGACACACAAAAATGCTGAAATGTGAAAGCTCATTGCTAAAATTAGTTGGTGTATTTTATACTTATTGAACCTCACAAATGAAAAAAAACTCATAACATCACAAAGGAATATGCTGGGTTGGGTAGGCTACTTGTCCCATTCTCATTAAATTCCCCACTAAAAATGTATGTCAAACTGTTTTTTAAAAGTCCCTACATTTTCATTTTTGTCTCGTCCCAGGAGCCCCTAGCAACGACTCCCTCCATTATCTCACTTGCTGCTGCAGTGTTGCACACACACACACACACACACACACACACACATACACACTGGCAGATTTCCAGAAGCTATTTCGGAGGAACACTGGTGAAGCAAAGACTGACACAATTGAACAGTTAGTAACCCTCTCCTCTCTCTCAAAGACACGGCTGCGCATTGTTCAGCCCCGTGTTTACTACACATACACAAACCTACACTCACACACATCACAGCTGGCACGAAGGGGCTGAAGTTTAACTGTCAAAAGTTTTAGGTTTCACTGGAGTCTACAGAACTGCGGCACATGCCATCGACAGTTTATCAGGTGAGACATTGAGAAAATCTCAGCTGGTAATCGGGGTATTGTTTCCAGGAATCCACAACAAAGAAATTGCTGTTGGACTTGTGTTAGCCTTCACTGTCTGGGTGCTTTTTCTCCATCTCAACTGACTAAAGGAGGAGGTTTGAACTTCTGCCAAGTCTACCAACCAATCAATCCTGCAAAAAGCAACTCAAACAATGATTTGATGCAGGTTTTATAGTGATTTTTGTTGTATAGCTGACCTTCTCTCAACATGCCCACAGACAGACATTTCACAAATCGACAGGCCTGGCAGGATTTCCTCCTTCTCTTGGTGATTTCACATTCGTTGGACGCTGGGCAGCTGTATTCAATGTTCCCTGGATGAGAAGAGAGTGGATAAGAGACACATTTTTTTAATTGCAGTGAAGACAAGGGATAATTATATAATAATAATTCAACATCATCATCATACCTCATTTAATTTGGATGTTTTAACATTCACAATTCTCGTGTCAAAATGCGTCACAGCAAGAGATCTTAAAGGGGTACTCCAGTGATTGAGTATTTTACTTCCCTACTTACAAGAGACAAATTAAGAAAAGGATGGTTTTTAAATGCTTCAAAATTGAAACATTAGATACCCTGACTTTCAGTTCCTGGCGTGGGTAACCCCAACGCTTCCCATATTGCAGCTGTAAATCTTTAAATAGATCGTCACTGTCTGGTAACTACTCACAGCTTTCAACCTCCAGTTTGGGTGGCTTTCTGTTTTAAATTTGTAATATCAAGCAGAAACAGAGATGACCCTGATGACATCACCATGACATCATCTCAGACTTCACAAATCTCCCTCCATAGCTACAGAAGACCTTTTACAGTTTTCACGGGCTGTAAAGTACTCCTTGGGACAAGTTAACCGAATTTAATGTGTAAAATCAGTGGAGTGGACCTTTAAATTCTTGAGTCAACATTCTAAATTATTTTGGCTTTTTTGCAACATACAAAAAACATATTCCGAACACCTAATTGGAAGCCAGGGCAGCCAAATGTGCATGTTAAGCCCGGTGGCGTTCAGCCAGTTGCAGGCATGCTCAGCTGCCACCTTCGATCAGAAACAGGAAGTATCTGATGAGCCAGACATCAGATCTCCCCGTCTGATCTGACACTGTTTGAACTTTGAACCCATCTACAGCAGCCAACTTCAAGAGGCCTAAACACAACGCAGCTTGCCAGGTCCTCGACCTGGGCCGTGAGCCGACAGAGCACAGGATTATCCTTTTAAAAACACCCACACTGCACGCCACTGACTCTCGCCACTAATGGCTTTCGGGGCTGAAGCAAATGCACACACATGCATCACCATATGTTATCTAAAGCTTTAAAGCCTAAACATGTTGACTATATACACCATGCACTGTAAGTTTAACAGCATATCAGCTGTTTGCAAACAGGTCTTTATTTAAAATCTTTCTGCAGTTTGAGAGGCAGGGGGCGGAAGCTGTGAGCTAACTGATCGGGGCTTGTTTATACCAAAACAAACGCTCAGGGTACGACTGCATCTGCACCGTGTTGCTTGTAAAACAGGTTTATGTGATGCAGGAAGGCATTATCTGCCATGCACAATAAACTCTGTTACTAAGTATAAAACTAAGCAGGTTCCTGTGCATAAATGTGTGTTTTGTGTCTGTTTGTGTGTCTGTTTGTGTGTGTGTGTGTTTGTCTCTCTCTTACCCTGGATGGTCCTTTTGAAGAAGGCCTTGCAGGCCTCACAGGAAGCCACACCATAGTGGTAGCCTGAGGCCACGTCACCGCACACCAGACACAGCCGCTTGGCCACCGTGCCCAGCATGAATTCACACTTCACTGGACTTTCTTCCTCCCCAAACCTCCTGGATAGAGGTGAAGAGAAAGAGAGGAGGGGAGGAAGTGAAGGGTAGAAGTTAAGAGGAATGTTTTCAGGTAGAAACAGCATTTCCATTTAACATCTGAAGTGGGGTGAAACTCAAAATAAGGGACAGTATAATGCATACACCGACCTGTTTGTTCCAACATTGTTGGCCAACCCCGCTGTGTGACCATACAGGACTGGTGAGTCCAGCCCATTGCTGTGATTGTGGCCTTTGATCAAGGCCCCGTAGCTGGAGTTTGTGTCCGAGGAAGAGCTTCCAGGGCTGGGCTGGGCCGGGCTGACGTCGCCCTGAGAGCTGGGGCTGGGGCTGGAGGGCTCACGCTTTATAGTGGAGGGACAAGTGGGGTCCAAGCCCCTCACTGACATCCTGTCGAGATGTCTGGAGAAAAGAGAGGGAAAAAGAGGAGAAAATGTATTACATTTAATTGTATATGCACCTTATTGTAATACATATTCATGATGGAAGATTTGACTTTCAGGTCAGCTTTATATTTTGTTTCACCTTGGTTTTGTTATTAATATTAATGATGGATAATTCAGTCAAGTCTGTGGCTTTGATTTGTTTTATTAAGTCAGGCATCAGTTACACAGACTCACGTAATAAGCAGCTTGGGAAAATCGTTACCATTAATATATGGGGTCATGTATTTTCAAACCACATATAGAACTAGAAAGGCCTAGGAAGCTCGTGTTTCTTTCACCTGTACCCTTTTTTTTTTTTTACGACTTCCTCATCTCCATCTCTACTCATCTTCATTCATGCATCCATGCGTACCAGTCCTATCTAAGCAGCCGTTTGTGATTTTCCCACATATGCAAAGCTATTGTCCATTACACTGCTTTGTTTTCTATGAAGGAGAGGGCTTAAACAAACCCAGGGAAATAACCAGCAATCATCCGCATTATCATAGCTATTATGTTCAATCTAAACACGCCTTTCACTTTTTTTTTGCCTCTTTACCTCTCGCTATTGTCTCTTTGTGTCTCTCAGTCACTCCACCTGTCAAACACTCTGTAGCCTACAACAGTTAACAGGTTGTTACAACAGTTTTTTTACTGTTGATATTAAAAGATATATTCAGTGAGACAAGAGCTAATGCAATAAGAGAGATAAAATGTCAGCACTAGTTAATTTTTTGTGTATTGTGCATGGGAAAATAATTTCTAGAAGCACAAACATGCGTCCATTCAGACTTTTAACTGCTTTTTTAAATTTTCTTCTAGGCCTTCATGTTAAAGTGTGTATCATTACTTTATTATTGGATTACAATGTGACCACAACAGACTCTCTGTCACCATGCAGAGGAGAAAGAAAGCATCTGAAACCAGCTGAGGTGTAGAGTCGGCTCACAGGCATGTGATCTGTGCTCACACACACACACATCCTGTGAACACACACACACACATTCACATCGTGGCGTCAGGCGTTCATGTGTGGATGTAAAAATAAAAATCATAGCCAGGCTCCCACTTCTCTACATACACTTTAGATTCACGTGATCAGGGGGACATGTTCAAGCGCCCTGGACACACACTTGCACACACACTTACAGACACATTTTAAAGCAAGTGTCTTCATAAACACCCCGACACATACCTGCATGCAACTGTTTGTAGCCAGGCCAACTTTAAAAAGCCCTCTGTCTCACTCTCTGTCACACACTTTCACAAGCAGAGAAACGCACACACAATATCCACACTGCCGGACGTCTCTCCCACTCTAATCTTGGCCTGTTGACGTGGTTGTTAAAGCCAGTCTGTTTCCTGCCATGTAAATCAGTGTTTTCTCGGCCACAAGTCATTTGGTAGGCAAAAAGACTGGCTGCTTTTAACCACCCTCAAAGTAAACCATGGGCACGCGCTATTGACCCCTCTACAAACCCACAAAGACAGACACACAGACGCACAGTGAGAGACAGACAAGTAAAGATACCATGAGAGCCAACAGTAGACGTCTCTGTGACAAAACCAGGCAACAATGCACAATTGACATATTTTCACCTCATATACAACTGTTATTGCGAACATGCTAGCAAACATTTGCCTTGCACATCCAGCAGACACAGAATTAGCCTTGATTTGGCGTTGTTTCTGATCTTCTGACAAATGTAAATCAAATATTGTTTCTGCTTTTGGTCTCTACCAACCCTTGAAATAAATATTTGGCTCTTTAGCTTGCTTGCTGGTTGCTAATTTTGTCTGTCTGCCATTTGGTGCTGGGTAGGCAGTGTACAGTGGGTTTATCAGATTTTCTATGAAAACAGCTTCCATTTATGGCTGGAAACAAGTTCTCAGTGCTCTCACTGATGTTGTTGGTTCCAAAAAGTAAAGTTGAGGGCCAAAACAATTAGCCTAAGGACGCTAAAAAGCTCTGTATAAGTTGGGGGGGAAGTGCGGTGACAATTCTCTGGGTTTGTCACCAGAAGTGACCACTTTCACATTACACCTAGTTATTTGATCTATTGTTAGTATAATAATATGAATTAGTGCAGCTTTAAACATTTGTTAAATTAAAAAAGGGGTATTTCTGGACCCAGTCTTAAGCAATTGTAACTCAATAACCAATGCACAAGGCACTACTGCCATTTTAACTCCCTCCTTGCCATCTCTCCCCCCTCCAATCCACTTTGAAGACTATAAAAACAGTACAGTGAAGAGATTTCAGTTTCCTTTTAAAGTGACTCACTGGCTTACTTATTGGCTATCCATCACAGGCATCCATATTGCTGTGTCAAGACTCTGACAGGTACAGAGTGAGATATTCTTTGTGCTTACCCATTATAATGCATCACAAGGAGGAAGAGGAGGAGGGGGAGGAGGGGTGTTGGTGTTTTGCTTTCATAATGAAATGACATTAGAGTGGGGTGATCAGATGTGATGTAATATTCACTCTGACAGATTACTAATCTACAACTCCACATAAAAGCCAATCAAAAGACGGTTGGTGCAGATCATACAGTGGCATGCTGCAGGGATAAATCAGAGCTTGTGTGTGTGTGTGTGTGTGTGTGGGAGTGTGGGTATTCAAAGTTATCATACTTAAGCCCTTTTGTGTCCCAGTATCCAAAACAACTCTAATTGCACCTTGGCAACAAAGGCCAAAATGCAGCGTGAAACGACAAGGACACAAAGAGAGAGAAAAAGAAGAAGAAGAGGTGCGGGAGGAAATTACAAGAGAGGCAGACAGATAGAGAGAGTGTGAAAAGGCCGGGCAGGGACAGAAAGAAAGGGGGCAGTCCTGTGGCTCATTAACCTGGGGGTGTTGAAAGAAAAGAGAGAAGGAAACACTCACTTTCAAATGAGCAGAGTCATAATGGAGACAATGACCCAACGGAGGAAGGAGGGAGGGAGGAGAGTGAGAAGAAAACAAGGGAGGGAAGGGAGGGAAATACAGAAAATAAGACCGAGAGATATAAAGAAAATGGAGTAGAGGCAAACCTACGGGCCATGGCGATAAATAAAATGCAAGGCGACAGAGATTCCTCCTGCAATATTACAAAAACACAAATACTTTTGAGGTCCTGTTGCTCTAACCCCAACCCCGAGGAGCAGTTATTTAGGTCAGTGGTGTCTCAGTAGTGGTTTTTTTTTTTCCTTTTACTAATGAGCCAGTAGGAGATGAGCAGGGATCAGTAGCACCCCCAGCCAGCGTTAAGAGCCTTAGTCAGGCTTTGGACAAAACTGTTAGCTGAGAGACGAGGTGCCCGTGGCTGGAGCTTGGACCCGCAGGCTCTGGAAACATGGATAGCGTGCCATACAGGGGATCATCTGTGGCCCTTTCTCCAATTCTTTATCTGCCCGCTTCTGTCACCAGCAATCAGCCGACCTGTACATCCACATGTCTTTTTGGTCCTCGTCTTTGTCTGTCCGTCCAGCAGTCTGTCTCTTAAATTCTCTTGATCTTTCTCTGCTGGGGGAAAGTTCATTTCAATCCTAAAATGCTTGATGAGATGTGTTTTCGGGGCCACAGTGATTATGCCACAGCTGATATAAAGCGCAGCGGTGATGATAATGAACAAGATTTTTTTTTTATGATTACAGAAAAGAAAGGCAATCAAAAAGCAGTTTCGGGGTAATCAAACAGCTGCTTCGCACGTCTTTTCGCAGGCTTTCATTTGCTTTGTGCTTCGTGCTGGTGGAAGGTTTTCACCAGCCTCGGATGACCCCAGCCCAGGACTAGTTTCCTTCAGATTGGTCTTGCCCACTCACCCTTACTATTACCAAACAAACAAACAAACAAACAAGCTGAACAATGACAACTGTAAGCAGTGCAAACAAACCCCCACACCTGGGAAATCTAAACTAAAAAAACGTTATATTTCAACAGCGTTCAGAAGATTAGACAATTAACTGATCAAGCAACATAAAATATTCAGCAACTATTTTGATTCGGATTAATAGTTTGAAAGATTTTAAAGCAAAAACACCAGAAACATTCTCTTCTTTCATTTATTGTCAGGCTTTTCTCTTTCTGTCTGTTTTATAACATTTGATGATACAACTGAACGTCTCTGAGTTCTGTAGTGCTGGTTGGACAGACATTTTAAGACGTCATCTTGGGTTTTAGGGACGTGTGATGAGCATTAATGACTATTTTCTGACATTTTATAGACTTAACCGATTAATTGAGAAAATAATAGTTTGATTAATCACTAATTAAAATGATTGTTGGGGTTATCAGCAGTGGCTCTGCAGGCCTAAAACTGGCAATTAACGTCATCTATTTACACAGGCTTAATTAAAATGAAGATGAATGGCAAAGATAATGATGATTTTAAATGCATATGTGCATTCCTCTAAAAGACTGTAATGTGGATGAGCAAATATTGTATAAGTCAACATTTTTTAAGCAGTTGAAATACTTCTGTCACACCATTTTCCAGAGTGTGATGGACCCTGATTCTCACACCCCAGTTCTCTTAGTGTGCTAAGTCATTTTTATTTCAAGTGCACAGACGTGTCATGAATTAAATCAAATCAACTTAAAAAATCAAAGGCACACAGTGCATAAAGACCTGTGCAGCACAAACAGAAAAACAGCAAATATGTGAGCACAAGCAGACATAAGACACACACATAACGTCCCACAAAGCAAATAAGGAAGCAGTCAGTCACTATTACTATAACTTTCACACAATCTTAGCTCTGTCTGCTCTTACACCTGTGTGACACTTGTTCATTTGCAGAGTAAACACTTCAGCGCTCGGTAGGTAGGGTCATTTTGCAGAGTGAAAGTACTTACTCTGTGTCAGAGTGGTAGGTGAAGCACTCTGGGAGGTAGAGGTCGACTAAATCCATGAGCACTCTGCCACCATGCTCCGAAGAGGAGACAAATGTTGTGTCCGGGGAGCGTCTGTTCCTGTCTGCCTGCTCTTCTCTTGATCTTTTTTCTTTTTTAATACACTGTATCTTTCACTGCTCTGTTTGTCACTTTCTCTTTATTCTGCCTCCAAACTTTGTCTCCATCTACTGCCCTTGTGTCACACTCTCAGCTCCTCTCATTGTCCCTGCGTCTGTCTTCCTGTCACTCACACTTCTCACCAACAGCCGCTGGCCACTGGCTGCCTTTGAAGTCCTGACTGTGGTGACTGTAGCTGGCTGTGTACGACAAGGGTCTCCAAGCAAGCTGGCCCTCATGAATACTCAGCCACACCATTTGAATGGCCTTCCCCCCTGAACGCTGAGCTGGCAGCTGATTGGCTGTCCTCTGAGCCAATGAGAGCCAGCCTCTCACTGGGGCAGGTGGGTATGACAATGGAGGATGTGGTATTTCTCACAGGTTTTAATTTCTTAGAAAGAACTTTATATAGAAATGTGGAAGTTGAGTTATCAGTTTATAGCAGCAGTATTTCTATTACAGTGGCTGAGGACAAAAAGGACAAATAATTACCAGTGTGCGTGTGAATAATCAAAACACATCCATCTATGATACACAGTTGAATGTGAAAGTAGGCAGGATTTCACTGTTTTATATTATTGTATTGGGTTACTTTCAGTATTTTTTAATATGCTCTGACATTTTATAGACAAAATAATTCATCAGTCGATTGATAATACAATCAATGTAATTCATTATTCGATCATTTCTTTTGTTGTAGCATTACTCGGATCAGTAAAAACATACAAGTGTTGGAAAAAGTCAGGCCAAATAATGTTGAAATGCTGAATATAATAAGCTGAAAACTCTCCTCCAACACAAGTCAATGCCATGTCTCAAGAAAAATCTGCATCTTTCCACACACACGGACACATACGCACATATGTCGGTAATCAAGCTTTAACTGACTTACTGCCACAGTACCTTTAGGTGATCTAATGAGCTATGGCTATATGCCATAAGTGATGCTTTTCGTCTTTCCTCCACAACACACGTGCATGAGATGCGCAGTAAGCAGTGCTTGGCACTCAAAAAAGGTTAAAAGGGCAGAAGATATAGTGTGGTGGACGGAAACAAGAGCACGCAGTGAAACACAACAAACTGTGCCTTTGGTACCTTTTCCAAATGTCCAAATTCATATTTTCTTTGACTTGTATTGTCGGTGTAGCATTTCATATGTCCGGTGTTGTATTTTGCATCCAAAATGTGTAAGATGCATCCATTTTGATCTCATGAAGTGCTGCTTGAAGTTGCATTGTACAATTTTACCTGTTTAATAACAGTAATAAAACAGTAATTAAGCTAATCTGCCCACTAATGAATACTGTCATCTCTCCAGTGAGAGTAAGGTTACAGTAAGCAGCCTGGGGTTAGATGAGTCTTATGCAACCTGTTGTCACTACGTCCTAATCCACTTAAAAGACTGACACACACGTGAGCCCATGTCAACAAAAAATCTCTCTTTATGAAGACACAAAAACACACACTTTTGTATACACAAAAAACAAGACTCGCTATGTGGAGATACAATGTTGAGCCTTTGTTCTGGACATGTGGGTCAAATTTGAATCATGATGGTTTACCCTGAGGTCCGAACATGTCACTGTGTGGAGTGAATAAACATCTTCTTTCCACATTGTTCCAGTTCTTTCTGAATTATTATATGACACAATATCGGGTTGGTGCCGCAATTAACTATTGTCCATCGGCGTACAAACACAGAAACATGCAGTTCAGTATTCAAGACCAGCATCTTGACTTTTCAAAGGAACATAATGTAATAATAAATAGGTTTTCCTGTTGACTTCTGTGACTCACTTAAACAAAGAACAAGTATCTAAATTTAACCCGTGTAACATACGGTGAAGAAATACAATTTCCAGATATTGTAATATTGAAAAATGTACAGCTATAAGGCAGTTTGGTATTTGTAAACCTTTCTGCTCTTTTTATGTCAGTCTCGGGCCTGTCTCTTCCTCTCTCGTCATCATGACGTTGTGCTCTGAGCTGAACCTTCACCGAACCAATCTCCACAGGAATGAAATCACCTGCACTAATCTGTTGCTCAGATAAAGGCCAGACAGCAGACTGCATGGAGTGGGCCTTATCTCATTATGCACCACATGAAACAGCTCGCCAACAAATAACGCACGCTACATTAAAGCAGCCACACACACACACAGACATGCTACATGTGTAAACAAACATATGAAGGCCAACACAAAGGAGAAGGTAGACATAAAAATCCATAAAAGATAAAGACAGTGTGATTTCTAATGGTAGATAGTTTTATCTCAACCATAAAATACAAAAACCCAGACACTGAGTGCTACTATCGTATCAAATCTCGTATCAAAAAGTTAATGTATCACATAAAACATTATCTACACTGAGAAATAATCTTTTATAAACCATTTAGGAAACTGAATGTTGACGTTAAAGCGAAGTGGCTCTTATCTCTCGGTGGCTTTTAGTTTGGCAACTGCCATCAATGGATTCTTTATTCGCTCAAACAAAGCTGAGGAGTTTGTCACATATTTAAGCGCAGGTGGAAATTAAAACCGAGATTAATCTTTTTTTTAATCAATGGTTGATATTTTCCTTGGCACCAGCTGAGTGGTCTTGAGTCGCACCACAACAATAGTAAGGCACACTTGAATCAAGCCAGAGTGGCGTCAAGTGAACCACTTGAAGGGCAGAATGCGTAGTTTATTTATTCTGATAATTTCCTCATTACTGTGTGCCACTGTACAAAAGCTGTTTGTTTCACTTTGCAGAGGCTCTGTCAGCGTTTGATGTAGTTCGAGGTAACATAAATAGAAAGGTTACAGACAGTTGCACTCATTGAACTTAATCAGTTCATTGAACCTTGTCATCAAACAGGTTCAGATTCAATTCAGATAAAAGTACAAAAAGAACTACTTACATATTAAATTCTCTATTAAATTTTTAGCCATGCTAGCAGCGTGGTTCTAGTTATGGCAGTGCTAATGTTACATTTTTGTTTCCTTACAATGAGATGTTTTCATCTACAGACGCCACAGGTCGCGTTCCGTGGCGGCCGCCATGTTGAACCGCCATGTTTCTACAGTAGCCAGAATGGACAATCCAAAAACCGGCTCTCGATTGGGCTGTTTGCTAGATGCTTCTAAATCCTACACACTGGACCTTTAATTTGTCCAATACGTTGGATCATGGCCTAATTTCTAATCACATGACTGTTTAAATTATCTGCTTAACATCAGCATGTTAGCATCGTCATTGTGAGCATGTTAGTATTAATCTCAAAGCACTGCTGTGCCTGTAAACATCCTCACAGAGCTGCTTGAATGGCTTTTGACTGACAAACATTGTTTGTTTTGTCCACACAACAGTCCCAAAACTCAACTGTATTTAAAATGATATAAAGCAGAGAAAAGCAGTAAATTGCCATATCTGAAAAGCTTTTTTTGTCCTGCAGTTTTTGACATGTTGCCTTTAACAGTTCTGTTACTACTGTTGACACATTTTCTGTCCATCACTAATCACTTAAGTATCTACTTTTGGACTAAACAACACATTTTCTGGGTTCGAATATAAAGGACAGCTAGACTGATAAATAATCCATGCCAATATATCAGCCAATAGCTTGCAGCAGACACAGTTTATTGGTATTATTGGTATGTTGGGCAATAGTAACAAGAAATTACAGGACAGAAATGGCAAAAATATGTTTTTAATAATTTGGAAACAGTGCCACCAGAGAACACTGATTGAGGTTTATTTTTAAACCATAAAATTCGCTTTTTTTTTAATGAATAGATAGATGGTTGTCAAGAAGTTAGTTTTTATGTAAAAAGCTGATATATCACATTAATATCAGCACTGGCCTCAAAAATCCGTTGTGCTATAAAGGAGTTGTATGAACTGGACCCTCCTGCTGCATGAAAAATGTATTTAATTAAAATCAAATATATAAAGGCACAGAAAGGCAACTTGTACAGTTCAGATGAAATAAAAACCATGTCAACTTTAAACAAACAAAAGCGACAAAAACCACAGAAGATGAATGACAAGTAAAGTGAACAGAGAGGACAACGACATGAAGCAAAGCAAAAATCCGGGCGTAACAAGAAATGGAAACAAGCCAAATGCAGCAAGTGAAACTGAACACGGAAGGCTGCAGTTAAACATCCAAAAAATATTTGTACACTGGTGAGGCTGAGCCGAAGACAGGAGCTCGATAGCTGCTCCGGAGGGACGCTGCCTGTAACAGAGCACCCAGCTGCCAGCTATTGACCCCACACACCAGATGCATCCCGTTTTCTCTGAAGAAATAGAAAAGTAGAAGTGAAGCAGACACCCTCACATGTGTGTGTGTGTGTGTG